AAAGACAAGCCACAGGCTGGGAGAAAATATTTGCAAAAGACATACCCGATCAAGGACTGTTAATCAAAATATACAAAGAACTCTTAAAATTCAACAATAAGAGCAAAACCCAATTTAAAAATGGGCCAGCCAGGTGTGGTGGCTCAAGCCTGTAATCTCAGCACTTTCAAAGGCTTGAGACCAGAGGGTTACTTGAGCCCAGGAGCTTGAGCCCGGACAACATAGCAAGATGCTATCTCTATAAAATAAAAATTAAAATGGGCCAAAATCTTAATAGCCACTTCACCAAAAAAGCTATACTGCTGGCAAATAAGCATATAAAAAGATTCTCCACATCATATGTTGTCAGGGAAGCACAAATTAAGAGAACAACAGCCGGGTGTGGTGGCTCATGCTTGTAATCCCAGCACTTTGGAGTCTGAGGGGGGCGGATCACCTGAGGTTGGGAGTTCAAGACCAGCCTGACCAACACAGAGAAACCCCGTCTCTGCTAAAACCGCAAAAGTAGCCAGGTGTGGTGATGCGTGCCTGTAATTCCAGTTACTCTGGAGGCTGAAGCAGGAGAATCGCTTGAACGTGGCAGGCGGAGGTTGAGGTGAGCTGAGATCGCACCATGGCATTCCAGCTTGGGCAATAAGAGCAAAACTCCGTCTCAAAAATAAATAAATAAAACGACCAAAAACCTCCATCTCTACAAAAAATTTAACAATTAGCCAGGCATGATGCTGGCATGCCTGTACTCCCAGCTACTTGGGAGTCTGAAAGAGGAGGATCCCTTGAGCCCAGGAGTTTGCAATTAGTGAGCTGTGTCACTGCTTTTTTTTTTTTTTGGAGACAGGGTCTCACTCTGTCACCCAGGCTGGATTGCAGTGACACAACCATGGCTCACGGCAGCCCTGACCTCCCAGGCTCAGGCAATCCTCCCACTGCAGCCTCCCGAGTAGCTGGGACTACAGGTATGTGCCACCACGCCTGGTTAATTATTTTGTAGAGACATGGTTTTGCCACATTGCCCAGGCTGGTCTGGAACTCCTGGACTCGAGCAATCCACCCACCTCAGCCTCCTAAGGTGCAGGGATTACAGGTGCAAACCACCACACCTAGCTGTGCCACTGCTTTTACACTCCCCTCTGGCAGGAGAGAGAGTGTCTCAAACAACAACAACAACAACAACATAAAAACACAACCACTGGGCACAGTGGCTCATGCCTGTAATCCCAACACTTTAGGAGGCTGAGGCAAGGGGATCGCTTGAGGCCAGGAGGTTGAGAATAGCCTGGGCAACATGGTGAGACCACCCCCATCTCTACAAAAAAAATTTTTTTTTAAACTAAACAAACAAACAAACAAACAAACAAAAAGCCAAGATACTACCACATACCTATTAGACTGGCCAAAACCCAGAACACTCACAACAGCAAATGCTTTCAAGGATGTGGAACAAGAGGAACTTGTTAGTTGGACTGTAAAATGGTTCAGCCACTTTGGAAGGCAGTTTGGTAGTTTTTTACCAAACTAAACATAATCACACTCCTTGGTGTTTATCCAAAGGAGCTAAAAACTTATGTCCACAAGAAAACCTATACATGGATGTTTATAGCAGCATTATTCATAATTGCCAAAACTTGGAAGCATCTAAGCATCCAAGACGTCCTTTAGTAGGTAAATGAATAAATAAACTCTGATACATCCAGGCAATGGAATATAATTCAGTGCTAAAAGAAAATGAGCTATCAAGCCATGAAAAGACATGGAGGAAACTCAAATGCATATTGCTAAGTGTAACAAACCAATCTAAAAAGGCTACATATTGTATGACTCCAACTTCATGACATTCTGGACAAGGTAAAAGTATGGAGATAGTAAAGAGATCAGTGGTTGCTGGGGGTTATGTGGGAGGGGAGGATAAACAGACAGAGCATAACAGATTTTTGGGACACCGAAACTACTCTGTATGACACTACAAATGGTATATACATTTGTCCAAACCCACAGACAATACAACAGCAAGAGTGAGCCCTAATGTAAACTATTGACTTTGGGCGATAATGTGTCAATGGGAAATCATCAGCTGTAACAAATGTGTCAATCTGGTATAGAATGTTGACAATGGGGGAGGTTATACACATGTAGGGGTAAGGAAGTACATGGGAAATCTGTATCTTTTGCTCAATTTTTCTGTGAACCTAAAACTGCTTTATAAAATAAAGTCTGTTAAAACAAAAAGAAATGAAGTACTGATACATAGATAATGAACCTTGAAAACATATGCTAAGAAGTCAGACACAGCTGGGCGCGGTGGCTCACGCCTGTAATCCCAACACTTTGGGAGGCCGAGGCAGGTGGATCAGAAGGTCAGGAGATCGAGCCCATCCTGGCTAACACGATGAAACCCCATCTCTACCAAAAATACAAAAAATTAGCCGGGCATGGTGGCGGGTGCCTGTGGTCCCAGCTACTCAGGAGGCTGAGTGGGTCCAGGAGGCGGAGCTTGCAGTGAGCCGAGATCATGCCATTGCACTCCAGACTGGGCGACAGAGCAAGACTCCATCTCAAAAAAAAAAAAGAAGTCAGACACAAATGGCCACAGAATATATGATTACATTACATGAAATGCCTAGAATTGGCCGGGCGTAGTGACTCACGCCTGTAATCCCAGCACTTTGGAAGGCCAAGGCGGGTGAATTACTTGAAGTCAGGAGTTTGAGGTCAGCCTGCCCAACATAGTGAAACCCTATCTCTACTAAAAATACAAAAATTAGCCAGGTGTGGTGGTGCCCACCTGTAATCCCAGCAACTCGGGAGGCTGAGGCAGGAGAATCGCTTAACCAAGGAGGCAGAGGTTACAGTGAGTTGAGCTCATGCCACTTTACTCCAAGCCTGCGCCGCACAGCAAAACTCCATCCATCCATCAATCAATCAATCAGTTAAAAATAAAAATGAAGTGCCCACAATAGGCAAATCCTTAGAAAGTACATTACTGATTGTCAGGAGCTGGAAAAGTAGGGAATGAGGAGCTACTGCTAATGGGCAGGGACTGTTTGTAAGGTTATAAAAATGTCCTAAAATTACGTAAGTCTGTGGATATACTAAACACCATTAAACTAGTGCTGAGCGCGGTGGCTCACACCTGTAATCCCAGCACTTTGGGAGGCCAAGGCCAGCAGAGGTCAGGAGTTCGAGGTCATGAGTTCGAGACCAGCCTGGACCAATATGGTGAAACCCCATCTCTACAAAAAATAAAAAATTAGCCAGGCGTGGTGGTCCACACGTGTAATCCCAGCTGCTTAGGAGGCTGAGGCGGGAGAATCGCTTGAGCACAGGAGACAGACGTTGCAGTGAGCTGAGACTACGCCACTGCATTCCAGCCTGGGTGACAGAGTAAGACTCTGTCTCAGATAAAATAAATAAATAAATAAACCCACACATTAAACTATGTAACTTAAATTGGTGAAAGGCATAGTATGTGAATTATATCTTAATAGAGTTGTTTTGGGCCCGGTGTGGTGGCTCACACCTGTAATCCCAGCACTTTGGGAGGCTGAGGCAGGCGGATCACCTAAGGTTGGGAGTTGAAGACCAGCTGACCAAAATGAAGAAACCCCATCTCTACTAAAAATACAAAAATTAGCCGGGTGTCGTGGCGCACACTTGTAATCCCAGCTACTCGGGAGGCTGAGGCAGGAGAATCACGTGAACCCGGGAGGCGGAGGTTGCGGTGAGCCAAGGTCGCACCATTGCACTTCAGCCTGGCCAACAAAAGTGAAACTCCATCTCAAAGAAAAAAAAAATTTTTTTTAACCCAAATAAATTAGAGAAACAAAGTCGTTTAAAAAAGAAAAGCCATTCAGACCAGAATAAAGAGTTAGCATTAAAAAAAAAAAAAAAAAAAAAA